CCCCCCCCCCCCCCAGTGAAGCCAGTACCAACCAATTGCTGGGTTTGAAGAGATTAATCTTGTTACAGATGAGTCCTGTTACAGGATTTCTGCAAAATTATCAGGGTTTGGAATTCAGAAAGTGCTTCCCAAGTATGTGCCTGACAAGGAAGAGAGCAGTTTGACATCTCCGTGTTGTGCTGTCATCTGTTTGCAGAAACAGACACAGCCGAGCAGGATTGTTTCTAGGAGGTGAAAAAGTAGCTTTTAAAAATGGTGTTACTAATGATAATGTGGTGATTTCCCCCCCGCCCCCCCCCTTTTTTCTTTCTGGTGTTCCTTTCTCTGTTCTTTGTATGGTCCCATATACACTTCAGGAACATGTTATCCCTTTATATTATTTACCCTTCTCTGCTCCCCTTGGGTTTTCTCCCTGTGTCCCAGTAGCTTTCCACTGTTCTGCCTCTGCTCCTAGTTACATTTCTTCATTGGGCAGCAGTTTTTTTTGAGCAAGGTGTGTGGTTCAGAAAGGGCCTGGCCTCAAATACGCAGCGCACAAGAACCTCAGGGCCTGGTCATACCGATACCGCTGATCCCCCCAGAAAGGGGAAACGGCACAGAGGCTTTGAGGAAGTGGGTGAGGTGTAGGGGAAGGAGTCCGTGTGGTTAGTGGTGCTACAGTCACACCTGCAGCAGCCTACGGGAGCGGAGAGTAAGTGGGGATGATCCCTAGACTGTGTGTGGTCAGTTGGTCTGCAGGAATCCTGCTGTTTTCCGTTTATTTTGAGCTCGACAGTCAGTGAGATTGCAAAGGTGAAAAGGGAGAGCTCAGGGAAGTACATTGGTCAGAGTTTCACCGGTGACAAGAATGGCTGTCACTTCCAGGTTAATTCTGACAGACCCTTTTGTATGAGAAGCAGGAAAATCCAAGGAAATCAGCTGAATGCCCACGTGCAGAAGTGTGTCCATCTCCTTATTGCAGCGGAAGAGAGACGTCATTTACGGACCAGTTAAAGGGTTCGACCTTTTCTTTTGAAACTCCAGAAGGTGCCCTGTGTCTGGGAAGTTGCGCAGAGCTCGGCATCCTTCCAGGGTGGGGGCGTGGCCTTCCCTGCTCCCAGGGACACCGCAGCTGCTGCCAGCCTGCCTGACAAACTGGGGGCCATTCCGTGGGGATGGGGGGGCGGTTCCCGCGGCTGGGTTAACGACAAGCCTCCCGTCTCTAGCGGGATGGACGGGGTGGGTCCTGGCGCTCTGCTACTCCTTTCGCATCCCTCGTTCCATCCTGTCTGCTGGGGTTCCTCTCTGCGTGTGGAAGTGACAGTCTGCGACGCAGTGTTAGCTGCAGCCCAAACATCTTTAGCTAGCCCCATCCTTCCCCTCACCGTTACCTTTTAAGCCGTAATGACTCAACTGTATGCTGATTTTTATTTTACTTTTTTACCCCCTTTCTTTCTTTCCCGTTTTTCTTCCTCCTCCCTCACTGTTTCACGGAGGAGCTACGTCCGTCTGGGCTTGTATTCTGCTCAGGAGTTACTCGGGCTCGATGCTGGAGCTCAGGGTTTATGGGAGGCTGTTTGCATTCCAAGTTCAGCGCGTAGTACTGACGCTCCCACCCAGAACTTCTCCGACTGACGGCGAAACGACGGCGTCCTGACGCGGTTGTGCCCAGCCCCTTCTGCTACAGCCTTGTCCCTCTCGTCACGCGTTCGGGCTGCCGACGGGTGGGTGCTGCGCTGACACACAGACATTCCTTTTGACTTCAGATATATTCTGGTGAGGATGAAAAGTGCAGCCGAGACGGGCTACTGTTTCAACGTCAGGAGACTCCGACTGCAGGAGAAACTGGTCCTGCTGAGATACGATCCCATCGGTAAGAGCTTGGGGAAGAAGGCAGCCTGCTTTGTATCAGCTGCTCTGACTGTGTGGGGCAAAAGATTTGAATGCAACAGGATTTTTCCCATCTAAGCACAATGTGTCATAACGTGTTTCATACTGGGATGACTGTACAGATGCTGTTCTTCATGACATTCCAGTGGGAAGTAAACGTTACCCTCATTTTACAGATTGTGGCAGTGAAACAAAGTAATGACTTGCCGAACACATCAGAGCCTTTGATGACAGCCGTGCCACATGTCGGTGGCAAAGCAAAGTGACACAGGGGTTCTTTCAGTCTGCTTCTTTGTGCGGTTTGCTAGCCTGTGCTACCTCCAGCAAGCAGCCGCGAAGTATGCAGCAATAGAGATGTTTTGTTAAGCTGCCGGGGGTGCTCTAGACAATGAATATAACCATCGCTTACAGAAAGGACTTCTAAAGACATAAACACAAGTTCTGTCTGTGCCAGGAATGAGACCACTCTCCAGATGACAGTCTGTGGGTTCTTTTGTGCTCCTCTGGTCCTTGCAAATTTTCTCAGTTTAAGAATCTGGTTTGTTGGGGGGTTGTAGCACTTGCCAAGCTGCCTTTTGCTCACCAAGCTTTTTGAAAGGTGACTAAGAGCTCAAGTTTCTGGGGGAGGAACCAGTGTGTAGCTAATACTAAAAAGCTTAATTTAACATTAAAAAGCTTAATTTGGGGAAACTTATGATTTAAGCCAGACCATGCTAGAAATAGCATGGGGGAGTTAATGCAAAAAAGGCTTATTTAAATCGATAGACTAAAGAAACGGGTTCATTGGCTCCGAGTAGGAGGTAACGGTGCGTGGCCGGTCGTTCTGTGGTTTGAGCTTACTGTTGTCTTACACTGCTGCGTTCTTGTGGGATGCCTGACCTTTCCGTACCGAGATCAAACAGCACAGGAGCTGTATGGCAGGTGAGAGCAACCACCAGGGCGGCAGCAGCGTGCTCTCACCAAAGCACTTGCGCTGACAGGGGTTGTGGCTCTCCTTCACAATTCCATACAGGAAGGGAATCGGAGATCACTGGGAGTATTTTGTCACTCCAGCAAAGTTTAAATTCCTGCACTGAAACATCGTGCAGAGAGATCCTCCAGAAGCTTTTCAGCTTGTGGGAAATGTGAAGAGAGTGGAGAGCTGGGGCTAAGTAGCACTTCAGTTGCAGAACATGTAGTAGGTTGTTGAAGTACGAAATTGGAAGTAATTAAGGAAAAAAGCTCGATCTTTGTAGCCTGTGGTAGAACACAAGTGAGAAATTGATGCGAGAAAGTGCTGCGTGTGGGAAGGGAATCAAATTTGAGTCTAGATACCAGCTCACATCAGGAATATGTTGGGAAGCATTTTCACTTGGCATGCATTTTCACCTTATGTTTTGTACTTCTCAAAAACCTGGGACCTCCGCAGAATGAAGCTTTTTAGTGAAGTAGTGGCAGCCGTGCCCGAGTTTCACTACCTCCTGACGGCAGCAACAGAACGTGTTACTAAGGAGCAGTGTTTGTTAAAGCAAAACTTGCACGTGGAAGAAGAGATTTCTGTATGGCATGGATTGCTTTCGCGTAGCTTTCCAAGGTGTTCAGGTCGGGAGGTTCTGCCGGAGCGGTGGTGCTTTTCAGGTGGCGCTGTAAAGCTTTGCTGCCATTCCTTTTTTCGTTCTTCGGGGTTTGTTTAGTAACGCATTGACCGAGCTTAACCTGGAGCTGAACGGACTTTGCCAACATCTGCATCGGGTGCTGGAGGCAGGGTCAGGTGGTGCCTCGCCCAGAGGTCCACGGGACGCTCAGTTAGCCAGCTGTGTGACCGACTAGATCCCACTCCTCACCTGTCGTCGCTGGGGCTCTGGAGCTGCAGGGCAGTAGAAAGCACTAGAGAACCTATTTCTGTCTGTGCGTAGAGCAGCTGTGGCTCAGAACAGTCACACAGAGCAGCTGGTGGATGTTTTCAGCCATTCAGCTCCCGATACTGATCTTCACTGAGGTACAACGGGCCTCTTGGGAACCCCGAAGTACGTGTGGCGAAGGGAAAGCGCCACCCAACTCCTTGAGGAGCCGGTTCACTGCAGCGCTGCGCCAGTGGGGCTGCTCCACGCTCCTCAAAGCAGCCAGGAGAGAGGGATGTAGGCTCGTTGCATTGGATTTTAACGCTTCAGGCTTCTTAACAGGTTCTTTTTTTTTTTTCCCTACCGCGAAACAACGTGTCCTCTTCACAGAGAAGAGAAAAATCCGCTCGATATGAACAATGCCTGGGCTTGGTTTATGCATGAGGATAGGATGGTCTGGGGGCAGGACGGGGTGAACGCTGATTCAGAAATCCAGCAACATGGGCTGAAAAGGGAGGAAATGAACTGGGATCACCGTCTCCTGTGATTTGAAGGCCATTGTGAATAAAACAATGTAGAGAGAGAAAATTCTTAATGTCTGGACATAGATCATCACAGTAACATTTATTTATCTTTTGAGTTATTTTTACAGTCCTCAATTAAAAAAAATTAAATAGCAAATCCCATTGTCTGTGTTTTCCATTGTGAAAGAGGCTGTAATCTTCAAAGCAACTATTGTTTTATAAGGCAATAAAAATGAACATTTTCCACAGCAGGTTTTTTTTAAGATTGTATGTTTTTCCCCCCCCCCCCGCCACAGATTCAACAGTAGTGACCACGAACTGGTGGTAATCCGTGGAGGGGTGGTGGTGCACCAGCTCTTTCCCAGGGAAGGCAGAAGCAACGGGAACCTGGGGAAATAAGAGGAGCTTTTGAATAAGCTGTGACCACGGCTGGAAGGGCTGTATTGTTTTCAGTCAGGTAAGGAGGGTGGGTTTTCACTCCCGGATTTTTGTCAAGCGTGAAGGAAGCAGACAGCCAGAGTAGCTCTCTGGTGGATTTGGAAGTTTGTCTTTAATTAGCTCACTGACGTTTAGAGCAGTGTGGCTAGAAACAGTTTTCAAAGTCTACCTGAGCAGCACTCGTCCTCTTTCCAGCTGGAGGGACATCCCACAGGCCGTGAGAGCAGCAGGGCACAGTGCCGCAGCTCCTGGGAATTGCTCTGCGGCGCTTCGTTACAAGTGTTGGGCTGGGAGCTAAGGCTCTGCTTCACGTGCTGGCATGGCACGGCACGGCGCAGGAGAGGGGCTGACGAGTGAATCGAGTGGGATTGCTACCAGGAGCCCGGCACCCTGCAGGCGTTCGGCTGTGAACTTTGTGCGGTTCCGCCTTTGTGCGTTTCAGCACAGCGCGTCGCGTGGGACGGCCGCGAGCCCAGCGGTGAGGTGTGTGGCTGGAGCGACCTGCCGTGCTGTTTGAAAGGTTCCCCCCCACCCCACCTTACGGCTGCAGAGCAGGAGCTAACAGGATTCCTCTCCTTAGAAGCCAAGAGACTTCCCTGGTCTTTCCAGTCAGCAGCAGAGAGCCTCAGGCTGTCAGGAGAGTAACGCTGTCTGGGATGAGATAAAACCAGTACCTTGAGCTAGACAGTGTCAGTTAGAAAAGGTCCCGAGGCAAGTCCTTCCTGTAAGGATAGGAAGACTGCGTCCCTGATGCCTGGACGCTCACTGATGCAACACAGTTAGACTTCCTGATCATTTCCTCCATGGGTAACTTGGGATAGTAAGCCAGGTAGAAGGCCAGTGCTCCCACGAAACTGTCTCCAGCTCCCTGGAATAAAATAACAAACAGGTTTGAGGACGGGGAAACAATTCAGACATGTTTACTGGCAAGACAGAAGTTGTGGCACCAACTGCAAGAGTCAGGAAATTGTTCAGGGCTTGAATTCAAGTCACTTTTCCATGCCTAGGAAATTCTGCCACGTTAAACTGAGGCCACGATGCCCCCTTTGTGCCCCCAGTGAGTGGAGGGACGCACAGAAGGCGGCTTGAAAGGCAGGCGTGCTGCGGGTCGGCGGCGTGTCGTTACAAACGCTGCTGTTGAAACTTCCCGTTGCTGGAGTGTGCGATTTTGATTTCCCAACCTGAGGGTTCCATTAAAGCTATTCTTCTCTCATTTAACTTCTGTTTTTCATAAAGGGCAGTGGGACAAGGGGCAGAGAAAAGGGGAAAAAAAATAAGCCATGTGGCTTGTGGTGTCTAAATTCGTAGTTGCAGAACGATACATTCTGATGCTTCCAGAACTTCGCTGTTGCTCATTAAAAAGCTCCCGCTAATGAAGGTCTATCATATAGGCTGCTCTGACTCCTGGGGCAAGCTTCCCTGCCTGCGCCGGGGGGTGGAGGGCAGCGACATCCCCCTGGAGCTACCCATCCCGGGCTGTGTCTCCCCGGAGAGCTGCCCGCCCCGCGCGAGCCCTCAGCAGAGGAGGGCGAGCCTTCCCGCACGGACGCTGGCCGTGCCCCGGCTTCCTCTGGCCCTCTAGCCCAGATGCCGCTGGCTGTGCTCCAGGCAGCAGGGAAGGACAACTCCCTGCCTCCTGGGCGCTTTGTCGCTTGGTCTGGACGCTGGGTGCTCTCTAGTGTCCCCAGCAACTGGCAAGATGAATAGTTTTTAACTTGATTTGCTCGCTGCATTCCACGGTGTCCCTCCCCCACCCCACAACTGGCTTGATTTCTAAGGTCAGACTGACAGCAGTTCTTGTCGGTACCGTAAAACTGGTCCTGAGATCCCCTTTTCTCAAACTGTGCTTTTATACCAGGAAAAGCATTACCCTGGACACACTGGTAATACCCTGTTTCCTTCAAGAACCAGCGTATGGGCTATGTCCCCTGAGGGATTTTGCCTCTGTAGTTGTAATAAATATGCCCCAGGAGTCATGGGGCCAGAGCAAAGGGCCTGGAAAAGTTAGTTGAGATAGCTGAGCAAAATTTCTAACTCGAAGTTCAGGCTAGGAAGTAATTTTCCCATTTTGAATTCCAGTGGTTCTCGGTGTTAAACTCCTACTTAACCTAAAATCAGCTGCATATACCATTCCGGCAAAAAAATACCCTTTCCACAGAAATCCACTGGTAAGGCTGCAAGCAGCTGAGGGGGCAGAGCAGCATGGCAATTGCGAGGGAACGCCGAAGGGGCGAGCGCAGGATACAGCCCACGCCGTGCCTCGCCTCTCCTTGCCCAGCCCTTCCAGGCAGCTGTTTGCACTGGTGTTCCCAGTCAGGGAACTGCCAGCTGAACTCCCGCTTAGCCTGAGGTTTGGACACCGTCTTCCCGCGCCTTCACCGGGGGGTGTGGTTGCCTGGCAAATCACACGTTACTCAGCGAAGAGGCGGCCGGCGTGCAGCTGTAGCGGCACCTGCTTCAACAGTTCCTAGTCCTGAACGTACCCGGGGCAGGGGAAGGTTTTTATCAACTTCTGTCAGGCCTTTGTCCCTCCTCTGGTTTCCAGCGCTCCCACAACAGCAGGTGGGGCGGGGACAGGTGGCTGCTAGTTAAGCATTGCCAGTGTCTTTTGTCTGAGGCATAATACAAAAATCTCCGGCCCATCTCAGGGGTTATAGAATCACAGAATCACAGAATGGTTTGGGTGGGAAGGGACCTTAAAAACCATCTAGTTCCAACCCCCTTGCCATGGGCAGGGACATCTTCCACTAGACCAGGTTGCTCAAAGCCTCATCCAGCCTGGCCTTGAACACTTCCAGGGATGGGGCATCCACAGCTTCTCTGGGCAACCTGTTCCAGTGCCTCGCCACCCTCTCCGGGAAGAATTTCTTCCTGATATCCAATCTAAACCTCCCCACTTTCAATTTAAACCCGTTACCCCTTGTCCTGTCACTACAGGCCCTTGTAAAAAGTCCCCCCCCGCTTCCTTGTAGCCCCTTCAGGTACTGGAAGGGGCAATAAGGTCTCCCCGGAGGCTTCTCTTCTCCAGGCTGAACAAGCCCAACTCTCTCAGCCTGTCCCCATAGCAGAGGTGCTCCAGCCCTCTGAGCATCTGCGTGGCCTCCTCTGGCCTCGCTCCAACCAGTCTATGTCCTTCTGATGTTGAGGGCTCCACAGCTGGACGCAGCACTCCCTTATTATCTAATTGGTGCGTGATTAATTACTAAAGCTATGTGGGCGCTGCTGTGAAGGACCGAAGAAGAATTTCAGCAAGCAGATCTGTTAGGCTGCAGCTCTCGCAGGCAGAACTCGTCATTTTTGCACCAACCATTTCTCATACAGCCATCACCGGGTCATGGCAGCGGCCAAATATTACCTTAATGCAGAATACTCAGAGCATCTGGTGTCAAATAGCATGAACTATTAGTTGGCAGCAGCATGGAGCAGAATGCTGTCTTTTTGATCTCGATTTTAATGGAGGTAACTAAATACTGCCCCAAATAACTGCTGCGCTCTTTGCCACTGGAGCAAAACAAGACAAACTGCACATCACCCAGGTCTGGGTAACGGCAAGTTCTCCCCGCGGCGTTCCTGTGCCTCTCCTCACTGTGGGTGATGCTCTGAGGTTGTGAGGTGGCTGTAGAGCTCCCCTTTGGCGAGGCTGAACAACGTTAAATGACTACAAAGGTGGAAAAGGGGGTGAACAGCAGACTAGAATGGAAAAAGGCCCGCTAGTTCTTTTTCTTTTTCAAGAGAAAAGGTTATGGGGTGACTGGAGAATATACAGAAGGATTTGATGCCAGTAAACTTTTGCTGAAATCCTTACTTCCCATATGTAGACTGAAGCTGTCAGTATCCCTAAAGCTCAGCTACTGCAGACCCCAAGGGTATTGTAATCCCATCACTGGTAAGTAAACGTTTTGTGGGGGGGGTGTTTGCAATCTAGGAATCGCGCTGCAAAGCGCAGCAGGTGTCAGGCTGAGTATGGAGACGTGCTGTTCAACCTCACTTCTGGTCCGTGCAGACCCGGCTGGTCAAACGTGACTTAACGAGCAACAGCAGAACTGATGCTGCTGGAAGGGTAACTGCAAGCACTATTTTCGTCTTGCAGAAACAGACCTTCCCTCTTCTGTACTGCGGAGTAACCTACACCGGGTTTGGTAGGCTGAGAAAAGGTCAGCGTAGAGCCGAAGAAGGAACAGGCTCAGAGTAAAACTAAGATTATCCAGACTCTGGAATAGCACATACAGGCTTTACATTTAGCTGTTTCAAAACCTGCTGTAAGAAAAAAATGATAACCTACTTCACAAAAAGAATGAATTCTGAAAATGGCCAGTAAGGTGCACTTACTCTGACAACATAGAAACACAGAATATGTAATATTTTACATTCTTCAGCATTTTTCTTCCAGGAGTCCTAATACATTGCAGACTGAGATAATCCTCATACCCTTGAGGGCCTGGAGACAATTCATTCCGTAATTATAAAAATATAACTTGTTTAACCTTTCTCTAAAGCACAGGATGCCAGTTTGTATGAAATAAAATAAAGAACCGGATCAAAAAAATTGTCTGATACAGCATGGCTCATCCTAAAATGCAAATGTTACGGTTTTGACTAAGTTTTATGGTTTTGAAGCAGTTTTGAAAACCTATTTATATTCTGTGCCACTAGTCTGGAAGGTCCTTGTTTTCCTGCGTGCCTGGAAAAGGGCATTTTTGTTTGTTACAGTCCAGCACTGACTGAGATTCTGTGCCTCTAGAGAAGAGAAAACCCACAAGAACACTTCTATTTATACCTTCGCTTTTGTTAGTCCTGATTTGTCAGAAGCCGGTTCACAACTCTACTACAACTATTTTTATACGATGCTGCCCTGAGCAGCTTTTTAAGGAAAGCGCTTTGTAAGGGGAAACTACGTTGTTCAACGGTCCTGCCAGCAAGTAAAGCATTTTTCAGTGAATCACGTGCAGATCAATAGGGTGCATGTCACTTAGACAATAAGATGGCTTGTTCACCAAAAAAACATGGGGGCCAAGAGGCCAAAAGCTACAGTTCACAGTGCTGCAGCACTGGCTCTGCCTTGTTCCAGGGAAACCTCCTCCTCAGCCTTCCCCCCACCAGCCTGTCGTCGGGGCAGGAGTAACGGCAGAGGAGGGGGCTCTGGCACCTGAAGCCTGATGATACTGAACCTCACCAAACCTCCCCAGGAGATTTTCCAAAAGTCGCAGTCTGTGTGCGCTACCTGTATCACGTGGATTCATTCCATGAAATACACTGTAAGAGCACATTACCGAGTCCTGAAAGGAATGATGTGTTGTGGAGCAGCACAAGAGAAACGTTAGGCACGCCTGTAACGCTGAGTCCTACGTTTAGTGAATAAATCAAAACATCAACCCAAAAGCTGTCACAAGCTGCGCTATAGTGTAGGCTCAACGACGCTGCTTGCAACGACGCTGATGCCTCCCGGGAGCGTTCAGCGCAGTGCACACCGAAGGAAGCCCGAGAGTACGCTGAGGCGGTGCAGTCTGAATGCACGGCAGTGCAGAGATGCCCAGCTCTGTCGAAGGAATCGGGCCTTGGAGAATTCCTTCTGTATTTACGGCACTCCGTAACGGTGCGATCCTGCGTTACGCTAAGGACGTTACCGCGCTGTGTCACACCCGCTCAATGTTCCTTGCCGTGCCCCTGCGTACTCTCTACCCAAACTCCAAATTAGCCCGACCTAACACAAAGCCAGCTGTCAGCGAAGGTGCTCACCATCCATTCCTCATTTGTGGGGGCAAGCCCATGTCTCCCTACAAGAATCCCTGGGCTGTGCTTTGACAAAAGGTTACTAGCAGAACTGGAGAAACATCTCTGGCCTTCGGGATATATTCAGACACTCTTGTG